ACAAGAATAGAAGTAAAAAAGGATAGAAGGATAGAAAAATAAAAGGATTTATAAAGAATCTCATGCCAAAAATGACTTTTTTGTGGACACTCTTTGTATAAATTGTGCCAAAAATAGATTTATATATTTCATTAATTCACAACAGCGCCTTATGCATGATAAGTATCAATTAAAACTGAATAGAATTAGATTAAAATTGACTAAAGGGCTTTTTTATGCTGACTGTGGAAAACTGTTTTATTAAACAAATTAGAAAAAAGTTTTTTTTTCTAGCTTAAAATGTGCTTAATTCTGAACATTTCCTCAATCGCTTTTGTTAGCTCAAATCCGCAAGTCGCTCAGTGGAGAAATCATATTTGAATAAAATCAATTTTTTAAGAGAAACCATATCTATGCTTTATTAAACAACGGTTTAAAGTGCACCGCTGTGAATTTAACATGTCACTCTGTAAATGGAGGGAATACATACATACCAGATCTTAAGTCCTACAGTTTCTTCAAGATTGAATATTAATTGTTTTTGAATTAAGACACAAGCCTAATATCTCCAAACTGTTGTTTAAATATAAAAGCTCAAATTTCTCAATTTCCAGGAATGAGAAAACAATTGAGCAAGATGTTTTAAAAATTATAAAGATTAGATGTTTCTGGGATCTGTAGATAATTCAGTAGAAGATCTGTAGATATTGTAGTCTTAGATCAGTAGAAACTGTATTCTTAGATCTGTAGATAATGTAGTCTTAGATCTGTAGATATTGTAGTCTTAGATCTGTAGATCTTAGATCTGTAGATATTGTAGTCTTAGATTTGTAGATATTGTAGTCTTAGATCTTTAGATCTTATAGTCGTAGATCTGTAGATATTGCAGTCTTAGATCTGTAGATATTGTAGTCTTAGAATCTATCGATAATGTAGTTTTAGATCTATAGATATTGTAGTCTTAGATCTGTAGATATTGTTGTCTTAGATCTGTAGATTATCTAGTCTTAGATTTGTAGATATTGTAGTCTTTTTGTAGATATTGTAGTCTTAGATCTGTAGATATTGAAGTCTTAGATTTGTAAATATTGTAGTCTTAGATCTGTAGATCTTATTGTCGTAGATCTGTAGATATTGAAGTCTTAGATCAGTAAAAATTGTATTCTTAGATTTGTAAATATTGTAGTCTTAGATCTGTAGATATTGTGGTCTTAGATCTGTAGATATTGTAGTCTTAGATTTGTAAATATTGTAGTCTTAGATTTGTAAATATTGTAGTCGTAGATCTGTAGATATTGTAGTCTTAGATCTGTAGATATTGT